AGTGGTTCTCAAGCTTTTTGTTGTTGTTGTTTAACTTTTGTCAACCTAAGCAGGACAAAAAACCTACCATAGCCATTCCCACTTTATAAGGGAAAAAGAAATTGGGGATAACAAAGATTTGGAGAGGAATAAAATAGGAGTCAATATGTGGTAACATGGCAGCAGTTATGTAAAAACAAAAGAGTTGGTAAGTAAAGCCAACATTCCTTAATACAAGAGCAGCAACTTACAGCCAACTCAGGATAAGCCTGATGATGTCCTTATCACTGACAGTCTTTCCTGGAAACTGGAAATTGCAACCGTTTGCATATATGAGGACACAGAAGGGGCTGTGCAACATGGCCAAAGGCCGAATGGTATCTGAGAAAAACCGAGTTATCTGGTAATTTTAGATTACAGATGCCAAAGTTTATGATGCGTAGTAGGCCATTGGCAAGTACCACTCAAGGATGAGTCAAAATGGAAGTCAAGAGCCCTGCTTTGAAGATGGTCTTTTTTTACGCGAGTTTGTAGGCTGTCTCAGGACCCTTTTGGTTTATGGCTTTAGATGGCTCAATCTAACAGATGAAAGCTTGAAAGGGGAGAGGAACAGGGTAGCTGAAACATAAGAAGAATAATTTCCAAGAAGCTTCTGGGAGGCTCTCCAGGTATTGCCACGCAGTGTTTCCTGCCCCTGCCCCATGCCCTTAAGTCAGATGAGGGATGCAGGAAATGGAAACTACCTTAGACTCTTCGATTCATCTTTCTTTCCACACCTCTCTGTCATCTCAAGATGTCTGTGTCACCTCACTCACCCATTGCCCCATCCCCCCCTAACTCATTCTCACCGTCTGGCCAGAGCCCAGCTTAGCTCAGGGGTTCCCCAGTCCTGTCTCCCTCAAGAAGACTTCCCTGCTCACTGTGAATAATCCCTTAAGGATGAATAACAGCTACCATTTACAGTGAGTCACCGTCTCCTGAAATCTCAAGCTGGACAGTCACCTATGTAGGACTCAGACCCCACACTCTCTGGTGTCAAAGTCTAAGCAGGTTCCCTGCATGCACTGTGCTTCAGCACGTGGCTGAGGTGGGACTCTGCCCTGTCCTAGACTCCAGGCTGAAGGAACTGCTCTCACAGCCGCCTCTGTGGGCTGTTCCTGCAGAAGAACGAAGCTCTCTGGATGACCTGTGCCTCGTGCTCACTGCCAGCTCCTTCACTGATGACAGCTTTAGGGCTTTGCTTTATTTTAAACGTTGGCACTTCCTTTTCTCTACTGATTTAAAAAATATTTTAAAATTATAGCATATTATTTAAAAATCCAAACAATATTGATAAAGTGGGGGAAAAAACTCCCTTACTGCCATCTCCTGATGTCAGTTCCACTCTACAAAAGTAACTACTATTAACCATTTAGTGAAAATTTTTTCAGACTTCTTCTGTGTGTATAAATGTCTGTGTATGTTTGGGAAGTTTTTCTGACATCTCCAAGTTCTTTATCTATGTATCTTTGTTCTAAATCATCGTCCATTCCACATTGCAAGCTGCAAAACGGTAAGATAAATGTATTTTTAAATTAATCTACACAGCACCTGACCAAAGGAACCCCTATTCTTGATGGATTTATAGGAGCACTTGTGTTGGAGACAGGGGTGGGAGGCAGGATCCCTCCAGAGAGACCCTGAGCTCACCAGGTGGGAAGGCGCACATGAGCTCTGGGGAAGAGACCATGCTTCATAAGCTCACCAGCAACTGGCCCGACCTGCCAGGGTGTGCACACTCCCCAGACTGCGGAATCACTCGTGTGCGGGTTGCCCGGTGGCCGAGGGAGGGGAGGGGAGAAAAGTGGAGGGGGAGGCACAAGGGTGGAATGTGGGCTGGGCCAAGTTTAGAATTACGAGTGCCACAGAGGCTCCTGGAACCACACTTTAAATAGCCGGCACCTTCCCCTTCCCCCTCAGATAATTCTCCTCCCCGACTGGACCTCTGGCGGCAACTTCAGTAAGGTTCGAAATGTTTTCTCTTTTTTTTTTTCTGTTTCTGGGTCTGAGTCTGCAGGTTGGTGGGATCCATGGGACTTACAACCAAAGGACTTTTTTCTTACCCTCTCCTAGAAAATATGCTTCTGACATTTATGTGTGCAAATGCCAAGATTATATGCTACTTTCTTGACTTTCTGCAACTTGGGTGGCTGTTGACTTAAGTGACAATGTGATTTGGAAATAGAGCGCCCTAGATTGAGAGGAAAGACAGTTGGATTTAGCTCCAAGAAAAATCAGATTTAACTCTGAGAAAAGAGAACAATGATCAACTCTTTGACAGGACTGAAAGAAGACAAAAATTTGAGTACCTGTTATTCTATTAAGTGCGTATATATATGTATATTTCCTCTTTTAATTCTTATAGCTAAGTATATCCTATCAATCATCCCCAATTTTACAGATGAACAAACTAAGACTCAGAGTCATTCATTAACTTCTCTGAAGTCAGACACTGGTATGAGAAAAAATGAACCTGGTCTCATCTGACTCTACAGCTCATGGCCTTTCAGACACAACACGCTACGTCTGAGAAGCAGCTCTAATGGGGCTAAGGGAGCCAGGAAAGTGCTACCGTTTCCCCCAGAGTCTGGGAGGTGGAGAAGGGAAGGTTTTCCATCACCAGGAGGGATCCATCCGCTGGTAAAGGGAGGGGAGGCCTCCAGCAGAGTCAGTACCTTGACAACCTTCCCAAAAGGACCCGGGAGCCCTCTTGGGACCAGTTACTTGGGTTTCTCCTTTGTAGAAAGGAGCTCATTCCCTAATTTATCAAATAAAAATAGATACCTGCTGTTCCCTGACTTTCTTTTTTCTTTTCTTTTCTTTTCTTTCTTTTCTTTTTTTTTTTTTCGAGACGGAGTCTCGCTTTGTTGCCCAGGCTGGAGTGCAGTGGCGCGATCCCGGCTCACTGCACCTGGTTTCATCCACCTCCTGGTTTCAAGCGATTCTCCTGCCTCAGCCTCCTGAGTAGCTTGGGTTACAGGTGCCAGCCACCACACCTGGCTAATTTTTGTGCTTTTAGTAGAGACGGGGTTTCACCATGTTGGCCAGGCTGGTCTCAAACTCCTGACCTCAGGTGATCCACCTGCCTCAGCCTCCCAAGTGCTGGGATGACAGGCGTGAGCCACTGTGCCCGGCCTGTTCCCTCACTTTCTGACTTCCTGGGTCAGAGCCAAAGGAGAGTCTGTGGCCAGAAGAGGTTACTGCTGAGAAAGTTCTGTTAACATGAACTTTGCTTGAGGGTTAGAAAAAAGTCCGTCTGCCTACTTCTCCAGAAAAGAAGCCACTCTGCAAAATCAAGGCAGAGTCATTAGAAGATGCTTTTAGTAGACATGCCAGTGAACCCAGGCAGCCATTGTAATCAAAGGGCTGGGACTGAAAGAGCAGGGGCAGATGGGTTGAAGTCCTGGCTGTGCAGTTTACTAGCTACATGGCAGCAGCAGTCACATCATTGAACCTCTCTGAGCTGCAACTTCCTTATTTATAAAGTGGAGGTAGTAATGCTTACATCTCAGGGTTGCTGTGAGAACTAAATGAAATGAAGGCATATGAAGTGCCTAGTCTGTAGTAGTTGCTGACTAAATGGGAGCCACACCCAGTCATCCTCAATCCCAGTAGAATGGGCCACTTCTGACAGTGAATGGTTAAAACTGTGGCTTTTTAGTTTATGTCATCTTCTCTACTGTCACAGACTCCACTTGTCACCAGAAAAGAAAAAGCACATAGCTCATCTCTCCCTTCTGCTGATTTCAGAGAGACACACAATTCCTGGTCCCCTCAACTCTCCCCGTCCTTTGACAGGATTTTTTTTTAAACTGGCTTTTATTTTTATATTACAAAAGTAAAACATTTTTTGTTGTAAATGTAGAAAATATAGATAAGGAAATATTCCTATAACCCAGCTGCTGAAAGAAAAACATTTTGGGCCGGGCGCGGTGGCTCATGCCTGTAATCCCAGCACTTTGGGAGGCCGAGGCGGGTGGATCACCAGGTCAGGAGATCGAGACCATCCTGGCTAACACGGTGAAACCCCGTCTCTACTAAAAATACAAAGAATTAGCCGGGCGCGTGGCGGGCGCCTGTAGTCCCAGCTACTTGGGAGGCTGAGGCAGGAGAATGGCAGGAACCTGGGAGGCGGAGCTTGCAGTGAGCCGAGATAGCACCACTGCACTCCAGCCTGGGGGACAGAGCGAGACTCCGTCTCAAAAAAAAAAAAAAAAAAAAAAACATTTTGGTGGCTATCCTAATCTTTCAATGCCTATAAATACTTTCTAAGATATTTGTCAAGCATGATCATATTGTACGTACTGGGTTTTACTATATATTGTGAGCATCCTTTTGTGCCGATACACTTGTTTCTGTAACACAGGTTTTAATGATTATATATAGTAATTCATTATGTGAATGTGCCATAATTTATCAACATATCTAGCATTTTTGACAATTTATGTACTTTCTGATTTTTCGCTGTTATAAACAATAAATATCCTATGCTACACCTTTCACTCACAATCACAATTATTTCCTCAGGGTAAATTCCTGCAAGGGCAATTGGTGGCTTTGAGGACATGTGAAATCCCATCCTTTCCACGTGTCCCAGCATAGAGAGTAAAGAGATGGAAGCACGTGCTAATCCCGGCGAGGCTGACTGTAGGGCGGCAGGGAGAATTTAGACAGCACAGCGGCCCGTGAACTCCTCCATGTCTACAAGCCTCAACCCAAGAGGGCCTTATAGTGGAAGCAAAGGCCGTCCTTCAGCACCAGCACTTTCCTCCTGAAACAGGAAAGGGATATATACGCTCAGTAGCTGTCACCCAGCTTCCACCACTGAGAAGTGCTAAGGAGGACACGGTCTGCAGGGAAGGGCATAGCATTCGCCTCTTCCAGGGCACTCATCCCCTTATGGATTTGTTGGAAAAGGAGGAGGAGGAGGGGTTTCCTTCTGGGGTTCCCAACAGTAACAGGGCATCCCACTTGTTTTCCAGGTGGGATGGATAGCAGGGCCTCAGGCACAGCCAGTAATGGAGAGACAAAGCCAGTGTATCCAGTCATGGAAAAGGAGGAGGAAGAAGGCACCCTGGAGCGGGGGCACTGGAACAACAAGATGGAGTTTGTGCTGTCAGTGGCCGGGGAGATCATCGGGCTGGGCAACGTCTGGAGGTTTCCCTATCTCTGCTACAAAAATGGGGGAGGTGAGAGCCCTTGTGCCGCCCCACCCACTCCTGGAAGGACGATGCTTCCATCTCCTGCGCTTACGGCCCCTCCGGGGAGTCCCATAGATGCATAGGATTCTGGAGTTGGAAGGACGCTTAGAGGTCATCCAGGACTCTCTGTAAGAAACTAAGACCTAGAAAGATGCGTGACTATCCCGTGACTATCCCAGGGCTTTTTCTATTGTAATGTGGCATCGTAGAAATGTGAGCACAAGCTGGAACCAGGTGGAGGAGAGTTTGGATCCTGGCCCCGCTGCTCACCCTCTGTGTGATCTTGGACAAGTTACTTAAGCTCTCAGAGCATCAGTTACCGCTCCTGCAAATCGAGATAATAATGCCTGCCTTTCAAGGTCGTTGTAAGGATTAGAGATAATGTGTGTAAAGAACTTAATAAATAGTAGCTTTGTTGATGATGATGGCAATACCAAACTGTTCTGTGGTCTTGAGATTCCCCAGCCTTGGCCTGGTGTCTTTTTCTGACTCTGCTGGCAGGGGGAGGTTCCCTAAGCCATCCCTTACCCAACCCCTTCTAGTATAGGCTCTCTTTTTAAAAATTTCCCAGTACAAATGTGTGCGTGTTGTAGGGAGAGCATTACCTCCAGCTCTTCACTGTGTCATCACTGGCTTCTCATTCACCTCTCTTCCAGCTGCCTGGGGTAATTCTGCTATCCCCGCAGCAGTGACAGAAATTTTGCAACCACTAACCCACATTCAGGGAATTTTGTATTTCTGTGGGAAGCCCCAGAGGGATTTTCCCAAGTACTGGAGCGTTCTGGGTGACCAGTGGGCTAGGAATAGCTCCTTGCTTATGGGTAAAGCTGATAGGGCTGGGGTTCCCAGGTCTGATTTGGTAGTGAGACTGCAGCCAGGCCTGGAGGAACGTGGAATACAGAGGTGGGCCATCAGGGAAAATGATGAGAGGAGTGGCAAGTTCATGGGCCACAGGATTTGAGGTTCTTTAAAGCAATACCTACCCTTTTGCAGGTGAGTAAGAGCTGCCAAAGGCATCCAGCTTGAGTCTCACAAGGATTTTAGAGAAAGAAAGCCTTCAATACAGAGTGGAGGTGTGGGAACTGGAGGAGAACACGAGAGATGCTCTGGGCCCATGGAGTCTGGTTCCCAGGTCTGCGGCAACTGGGGATTGTCCCTGGGTTGGAGGTTAACTTGTGTTTCCAGAGGGATGAAAATGGGCTGGTGTGTCCCTTCTTCCTGGGAATTTCTGGCCAGTGGCCTGAAATCCTAGGAATTTGCTCAGTTTGCGCTGTGAGGGAAGAGGGAAGGTCTACCCACTTTTTACCTGGTGCTGAGTGCTCCACGTGCTTGTCCAGGAATTTAGGCCTGAGTACCCTCCCTCTGGAGAATCAGGGGAGACGGAGCTGGCCCAGGGCGAAAGCTGGAGGCTTGGGGACTAAGCTGGCGTTGGGACTCTGGGTCTGGAACCTGGTAACCAGCTCAGCTCCTCACATGGCAGAGATTAGGAGGTGAGCAGCTTTCCGCAAGCCTCTCTGGAATTGGGTAAAGGTTGGCCTGGGAATTAGCAGGAATGGCACGAAGAGGTAGGAGAGATTGCCTTCCAGGTCTAATGCAAACCACTGGGCTGACAGGGGCAAGTGGAGGGGAGCAGTGACAGGAACGCGGGGGATGAGGGACTCTCCCTGGTCCTTTCTCTGGCAATGTTTGGGTCCCAGGGCTCTGTGGTGAGTCTGTGTGGGCCTGGGAATGTGTTGACTGTGTCTTGTGTGGGAACAGAGGCCTGAGGCGAAAAGAGCACCCACAGCCCTTGGTTGGTCACGTGGCTCCTGTGTGGGGAGGTGGAGGCAGCAGGGCGGCGGCTGTGGTCTCCTTCTCCCTGGATAGAGCCTGCCTTCCAGCACGCTGATTCCCTGGAGAGTCCTGACATGTGTGGGAATCCTGCCATCCAGTCGAGTTCTCTGTTTAACCCTTACACTGCCTACCCATAACTTCTTCCCTTACCAAGCGCGGGGCCTGAGCACTCCTCTTCCCCGTTCGCTGGTGGATGGCTTCAGCTGGAGGGGAGTGTTCTGAGGGACTGGGGAGCTGCAGGCAGGGCCCAGGTTTGCTCTGGAGGGCATGAGTCACCCAGGGCCGCGGGCTGGGTTAGTGAAATGGCTCCTTTACCACGGTAAGCGGGCTGATCAAGGATGTGTGTGGTCAGTAGAGGAACCTGGACCTGCCTATTTTTCTGTTGTTTTGGTGTTCTCAGCAGTTTAACCTTTCTGTCATCAGTTAACTCCTCTCGCCTCCCAGGCAAAGCAAACTCCTACAGAGAACGGGCCCTTAAGCTTCATCTCGTCATCTCCCTGTCCCTTTGCCGAAGAAGAGACTGCTGTCGCTTCCCGAAAGGACCCTTTGCTGCTGCTGTGGGCAGGAGGCTGGGACATGGAGACCCTTAGATTGGTTTGACCCCTTTCCTCCTGGTTTAGTGCTTTTATCAGAGCTCACCACTCTCAGATTGGGGCCTGGGCTCCTGGCATGGGAAGAGTGTTCTGAGCAAGCCCTGGAGAGGATGCTGGGGTACTCCAGGGTGTGCCATCCTCCCGTAATGCACCCTATCAGCCTGCTTCTGGGCCCTTTCTTGAAATTCACAGCTCCAAGTAGCCACTCTTGTGCTTGGCGGGGAGGGGAGGGCAATCAAGGAGTTTGATTTGTTGTAGTATTTGTTTAGTGAGAAGCTCAGGGATGAAGATGTCCTCAAAGCATAATTTTACTTCCAAACTAAAAATATAAGTGACATCTTTGGTTTCTTCCAGCGTCAACATTTGGTAGATCTAATTTGAAATGAGTTCCAGAGCAGGGAAAGGGCTGAGGCAAGGCTATGATAGAACACAAGGCAAACAGCTGAAAACTGTAGTCAAAAGGCAGGCAAGCTGAGAAAGTGATACAAAGAAGCCCATCAGAAGTCAGAAGCAACAGGGAGGCTTTTAGGGAGGCGAGTGAGAGGGATGTCCACCTCCACCGTCTCCTCGGTAAATAATCTCCCTGCTGTCCAGGACCTATGGCTGATCCACCCCCAAGCACCTGCTTCATCCTAATGGCTTTAGAATTTCCAGGCTCTGTCCGTTGCCTCGGCGCACACCCAGCTAAGCCCTGAGCCTGACTGTGTCATTCACCAGCAAGTACTTACTGAGCACGTGGCATAAGCCAGGAATTTTTCTAGGTGGTTGGGATACATCTATAAACAAAACGGACCAATTCCCTGTCCTCACAGGGCACACATTCTAGAGGAGGGAGACAGACAATGCACAATAAATGGGATAAATGTGTAAATTAAATAGCATTCCCGAATGAATGAGTGCTATAGGAAAAGAACGAGGGGAGCTGGGTAAAGGGGATCAGGAGTGTGGGTGTGGGTGGTGGCAATTTTTAAAACGGTGGTCATTGAGAGCATTTGAGCAAAGTCTTGCTAGGAGTGACAGAATTGGCCTTGTGGATATTATGGGGTGGGGTGAAAGTGCTTTGCTCCAGGCACAGGAAACAAAGGTTGAAACAAAGCAAGAGACTGGCTGGCTTGTTTGAGGGGGACTTGAGCCTGGAGCTGGGCAAGTGAATAGAAGGTAAGGTCAGGGAAGAAAATGGGCTGGGACAGGGAGGCGGGCAGATGAGGTATGCCAGGTTGGCCACTCTCAGACTTCAGCGTTTGCTCTAGTGACATTCAGATGCAGGCAGGGTTTTGAGCAGCAGTAATCTTACATTATTTCCCCCCCGCTCCTCGAGATGGAGTCTCGCTCTGTCACCCAGGCTGGAGTGCAGTGGTGTGATCTCAGCTCACTCAGCCCACCTCCTGGGTTCAAGTGATTCTCCTGCCTCAGCCTCCCCAGTAGCTGGGACTACAGGTGCGCACCACCATGCCCGGCCAATTTTTGTATTTTTAGTAGAGATGAGGTTTCTCCATGTTGGCCAGGCTGGTCTCGAACTCCTGACTTCAGGTGATCCACCCACCTTGGCCTCCCAAAGTGCTGGGATTACCGGCGTGAGCCACTGTGTCTGGCCAGTCATCTTACATTTTAAAATAATCTCTAGCTGCTATGTTAGAACTGAGTATAGGGGAGTGAGGGCAGAAGCTGACCAGTTATAAGGCAAAAATCTTGGAGTCATCCTTAATTCTCTCATAACTGTTGACTGTACCCAAACACGCGGGTCCTGGGAGCTTCAGGACCTCTCCGGCTCCCTGGACCCTGGTTGCTGGCAGAATGAGTAACTCAGCATCCAGAATGCCTGGGACTGGATCCCCCCCACCCATGAGATGTGCAGGACCAGACCACTTCTCATCCCCTCCACTGCTAGCACCCATCTAAGCAATCCAAGAGTTTTCACCTGAGTGACTGGAAGGAAGGAGCTGCCGTTCACTGAGATGTGGAAGGCCATGAAGGGAGCAAGCTTTTGTTGTGGGTTTTTGTTTTGTTTTGTTTTTTAATAGAGATGGGGTTTTGCCATGTTGGCCAGGCTGGTCTCAAACTCCTGGCCTCAAGTGATCTGCCTACCTCGGCCTCCCAAAGTGCTGGGATTACAGGCATGAGCCACTGTGCCTCACCCCAGAGGAGCAGGTTTTGAAGGGAAAGTAAGGGGGTGAATTTTGGGAAAGTTGAGTTGAGGTATCTATTGGATGTGCAAGTGGAAATGGCAACTGGGCAATAGAATGTGAGTTTGGAGTTGGTGAGAGAGATCTGGCTGGAGGTGTGTATTTGGGGACCATTAGCATTTTGATGGTATAAGAAAAGAAAGTAAGGACCTTTAGTGGGTCTGGGAGAAGATGAGAAACCAGCAGAGGAGACAGAAAATGAGAAACTGGTAAAGCAGGATGAAAACCGAGAGAATGAAGTGTTTTGGAAAGCCAAGTGAAGGAATCCCATCAGGGAGGAGGGAGAGATTAACTGTAGCAAAGGCTGCGGATAGGTTTAAAAAATGAGGAGAGGAAATTGATTGTTGGTTTTAGCAGCTGGGAAGTTACTGATGACCTT